TCATCATCATCATCATCATCATCATCATCATCATCATGATCGTTATCATCATCATCAGCATCATCATCATCATTATCATCATCACCATCAACATCACAATCATAAAATCCATCCGTATCATGATCATGATCATGACCATCAACATCTCCTCACTCATCATCATCATCGTTCGCATCATCATCATTATGATCCGAATCGCCATTCGAATCATCATCATCAACATCATTATCATCAACACCATCATCATCATCATCATCATCATCATTGTTATTTTCATCATAATTTTCATCATCGTCATCAACCGAAGCATCTGCATCAAGAACATCATCATCATCATCCTCATCATCATCATCATGATCTTCATCAACATCATCATCTGAATCATCGTCGAAATCATACGAGTCATCCTCCTCCTCTTCCTCATTATCATCATGATCGTCATCATCAACATGAGCATCATCATCATCCGAATCATCCGAATCATCACCATCATCATCATCATCAACAGCATAATCGTCATCATCATCCTCATCATCGTCATCATCATCATCATCATCATCATCCGAATCATCTTCATCATCATCATCATCATCATCCAAATTGTAATCATATTCATCATCATCATCACCCAGTCAGCATCATCATCCAAGTCATCATCATCGTCATCAACATTATCATTTTCCGATTCATTATCATCATCCTCATCGTATTCCGAATCAACATCATCTTCCGAATCATCGTAAACATCTTCATCGTCAACATCGTCATCATTCGAATGACGACGTTCATTGTTTTCATCATCACTCCAATTACCATCATCATCACCATCATCATCCGAATCACCATCATCATCAACATCATCATCCGGATCATCATCATCATCTTCATCATCATCATCATCCGCATCATCATCATCATCATCATCATCATCATCATCATCATCATTATCATCATCAACCGTAAATTCATCATCATCGTCATCATCGTCATCGTCACAATAGTCATCCGAATCATCATCATCATCATCCGAATCGTCATCATCAACAGAATCGTCATCATCATAAAAATCACCATTTTCGTCTTCATCATCATCATCGTCATCATTATAATCATCGTCATCAGCATCATCATCATCATCATAATCATCACCATCATCGTCATCATCATCATCATCATCCGTATTATCGTAATCATTATCATCATCCGTATAATCATCTTCATCATCATCGTCATCGTCACCATTATTATTATCATCATCATCATCATCATCATCATCATCCGAATCATCCTCAGCATCATCATGATCATCATCATCTTTATGATCACCATCGTCATCATCATCATCATCATCATCATCATCATCATTATAATCCACATAAATTTCATCATCGGCATCATCCTAATCATCTCCATCAACATCATCATCGTCTTCATCATCATCACCATAAACATCAGCATCAACATCACAATCGTACTCATCGTCATCAACATTCTCCTCACCATCATCATCATCATCATCATCATCAACATCACAATCATTTTATTCATTCGAATCTTGATCATCATCGACACCATCTTCATAACCTTAATCATTCTCATCATCGTTCACATGATATACTTCATCATCCTAATGATCCTTCGCAACAACATCTCCATCATAATGATCATCTTCATTATCATCATCATCATCATTATCATCATCGTCATCATCATCTTCATCATCATCATTATCCGAATCATCGTCCACATCCGAATCATCTTCATCATCATCACCATGAACATGATCATCATCATCATCAATATCATCATCGTCATCATCATCAACATCATCATCATAAGCATCACCGTCCGAATCAGCATCATCATTATCATCCAAGTCATCATCATCTTCGTCATCATCCGAATCATCAATATCCGAATCAGCATCATTCGAATCATCATAATCATCATGAAACTCATGCGAATCATCATCATCATCATCATCATAATCATCATAATCATCATCTTCATCATCCGAATATTCCTACGAATCAACATCCGAATCACCACCATCAGTATTGTCATCATCACCCAAATCACCATCATCATCCCCATCATCATCCGAAATATAATCATCATCATCATCATCAGACGAACCATCGTCATCATCATCATCATGTACAGGATCATCATCATCATATTTATCATCATCATCATCCGAGTCTTCGTCATCTTCATCCTTCGGATCACCATCATCCGACTCATCATCCTCATCATTGTCATCATCATCGTCATCATCATCATCATCATCATCCGCATCATCAACATCATCCTCATCATCAACATCAGCACCATCATCATCACCATTATCATGGTCATCATCATCATCATCATCGTCAGATTACTCATCCGACTCATCATCATCATGAGAATCATCTTCATCATCCGAATCATCATCTTCATCTTCATCATCACCATTATCCGATTCATTATCCTCATCCTCATCATATTCCGAATCAACATCATCTTCCGAATCATCGTAAACATCTTCATCGTCAACATCGTCATCATTCGAATGACGACCATCATTGTTTTCGTCATCACTCCAATTACCATCATCATCACCATCATCATCCGAAACACCATCATCATCAACATCATCATCCGGATCATCATCATCATCTTCATCATGATCATCATCATCCGCACCATCATCATGATCATCATCATTATCAACATCCGAATATTCGTCATCGTCATCACCATGAACATGATCACCATCATCATCAATATCATCAACGTCATCTTCATCAACATCATCAGCATAAACATCATCGTCCGAATCAGCATCGTTATCATCATCCATATCATCATCATCTTCGTCGTCATCCGAATCATCAATATCCGAATCAGCATCATTCGAATCATCATAATCATCATCATCCTCATGCGAATCATCATCATCATCACCATAATCAACATCATCAACATCCGAATCATCTTCATCATAATCATTCGAGTCATCATCATCATCATCATCATCTTCATCATCCGAATCATCCTTCGAATCAACATCATCATCATCATCATCATCATCATCATCATCATCATCATCATCATCGCCATCATCTTCCGAATCATGATCACCATCATCATCATGATCATCATCAACATTTTCATTATCATCATCATCAGAATCATCATCATGATCATCATCTTCCCAACCAACATCGTCATCAGCATCATCATCCGAATCGTCAATATTATTATCATCATAATCATAATCATCCGACAACTCGTCATCATCATCATCATCGATGTAAAGGATTTGTGAATACTTTATTACCCATACTTCAACATTTATCCATTTTTGCGCT